AACACAACCGCAAATATATCATATGACTAAATGAAATTATATGACTTATGCACTATATTCAAAGTATTCTGAAATCTTTTGAGTGAGGAACAGACCGTAGATACTGTGATGCATGAGGTTTGACATGACTGGAAGACTGGGATTACAGAGCATATAGCAGTTTTTGTCATACAGACCATTATATGCAAAATATATTGAAAATCTATCATTTTGTTTTCCACAGAACAAAGTCAATCACAGCATTGGAACAACATGATTAATCACCAGTTCCCAGGTTACATTCCGCTAATTATCCTGGAAATGCATTTACTCATTTATTTTTCTGGAATATACGTACATTGGCAATTTACATCACACCTGTAATCCAGAACATCTCTGTTTTTGCTGCCAAAGCAGCACTTGCTCCATCTGCCTGGAACTTATGCGGTCCTGACACAAACCTCTGCCAGGAGGAACCTCTTTAAGAAATATCCAGGGGCTCTTGAGCCGTCTTACCTCCAGCGTCCTTGAATTATTCGTAGAAAATGTCCTCGTGACTTTGACATGTTCATAATAACATGACATGTTCGCCACGCATCCCTGGAGTAAACGTGTCACACGTGCATATGTGATTCAGATTAGATGAATAGCATCAGTATGGCCTAATTGTTCCATATAGAAACATTTCAAATGTATAAGTGCAACTTGAGAAACAGACAATGCTTGACACCATGTGAAAGGGAATCAACTTCAACCCACGTCCAATTCATCTCACGGCAAGATCCCGGAAACAAGTTAGCCTGCAAATTAGATCTGCTGCATTCATATCCTGTAATATCTTGTAATATACATAATATAGACTCAAATAGCTTTCGCCTCACAATTACATGATAGGACGTGTATGCCACGAGTGTGTGGCAGAAAGTCTCTCATCTTCATTTATATAATTTGAGCTTTCCAATTTAAGTTTTTCATATAATTACCTTGACTGATTGTAAAAAGGAGAATGTTCCAAGGCGCTGAATGAAACTATTTCTTATTGCGTTTATGGCAAATGTAGTCAATGAAGCTGAAAAGCCAGTAAAGCATCTTGTGAAAAAGCTATGCCCATTAAATTTCAGAACTCAGAGGAAAACAGCTGAGGCTTAATCTGGATGTGATGAGAACAGCAGAATTTATGCAGGATAAAGAAAGTTTTGATCCTACTTCAACAAGTTAAGGGAATAGTTCACCCAAAGAAGGAACGTTCAGTCATTATTTACTTACCTCATGCTGTTCTAAACCATATGATGGTATTTTTTCTGTGAAACACAAAGGAAGAAATACTGAACCATCTTCATATAGATTTTTTCCTGTACAAGGACATCTGATGAGTTCCAAAAATATGTCATGAGTAAACCAGGGTTATTGTTACTTAAAACTAAAATAAAATAATAAAAAGAAAATCATTACTTGAAATGAAATAAACATTAACTGAAAAAAAAAAAATAAATAAACTTATTTAATTTCAGCTAGTTTCATTTTTTTTAAATGTATCTTTAAGTACTAAAATAATATTAAAATGAAAATGAATAAGAACTAGACATTTTCACAAAAGACAAAAACTAATAAAAATTGCAAAAATATACAACAAAAATACTAAAACTTGAACTAAAATTAAAATGAAAAAAAATAATAATAAAAAAAAAATTATATATATGTGGTAGTGTGATGGTCTGGGGCTGTTTTGCTGCTTCAGGACCTGGAAGACTTGCTGTGATAAATGGAACCATGAATTCTGCTGTTTACCAAAAAATCCTGAAGGAGAATGTCCGGCCATCTGTTCGTGACCTCAAGCTGAAGCGAACTTGGGTTCTGCAGCAGGACAATGATCCAAACACACCAGCAAGTCCACCTCTGAATGGCTGAAGAAAAGCAAAATGAAGACTTTGGAGTGGCCTAGTCAAAGTCCTGACCTGAATCCTATTGAGATGCTGTGGCATGACCTTAAAAAGGCGGTTCATGCTCGAAACCCTCCAATGTGGCTGAATTACAAGAATTCTGCATAGATGAGTGGACCAAAATTCCTCCACAGCGCTGTAACAGACTCTATGTAAGTTATCGCAAACGCTTGATTGCAGTTGTTGCTGCTAAGGGTGGCCCAACCAGTTATTAGGTTTAGGGGGCAAACACTTTTTCACACAGGGCCATGTAGTTTTGGGTTTTGTTTTCCCTTAATAATAAAAACCTTCATTTAAAAACTGCATGTTGTGTTCACTTGTGTTATCTTTTACTAATATTTAAATTTGTTTGATGATCTGAAACATTAAAGTGTGACAAACATGCAAAAAAATAAGAAATCAGGCAGGGGGCCAACACTTTTTCACACCACTGTATATATACTGTATATATGATAGTATCTCAATGATACTAAAGTAACACTGAAGTGAACAATGACAATTTTTACTTTTGTTTTAACTTTTCTTTAAAGATTCTGGAATGTAGTTCAAAGGGATCAAATATGCCTGAGTTTTCTCTCTGCCAATATCTGGCATGAAACATCGCCTTTTGACGCAGTTATGAGATTTTACAGACAAACTCCCTTCTAAACAGGCACACCAGGCTGGAATGAAAGAAAGGCCACATTTTGTAAAACTGCAATGTGGTTTCGGAGTCATCTGAGACAAAACCTGAACCGTGTTAAAAGCCTTGACTATTGTATCAGCTTCATTTGGCTTGTGATCATCTCCACCGATACCAAAGCGTCACAGACAGTGTTGAACTCAGATGAAAGTGTCAGGGTTTCAATCGGTAGCTTTCATAGAGAATAATTACTCTTGCTTTATGTTTTGCACGGTGCTGTGGGTCTAAATCAAGAAATGATAAACATGAATCGCACCAATTATTTAAGGCGATATCTATGACATCAATCAGCATTTTTATGGGGAGATGAAAGCACCATAAGATAAGAGTGTTTCAATCATGATCAGTAAAAAAAATGTGAGCAATGCAAACTGGTGTGAAAAATCCTGCTGAATAAATTCACAAATGAGAAAGCCTTGATTTTTCCCAGCTTCGTGTCACGTGAGAACAGAGAAAACTGAACAGTGATCTTGTCCTATGTATGGCCAACCCATAAGACAAACTATATATATATATATATATATACATAGTTTTTTTTTTTTTTTTACCAAAATATATTTTAAATATATATTGTAAACAGTGCAGCTTATAGAAATATATTTTTTGAAATTGGAGATATATTTAATTCAATCTTTGTATACCAAAATATATTTAAAAATGTATTTCGGGCCAAGAAAATATATTTACAATCTTGTTGCCTACATCTAGGCTAGAGATCAAAACAAGATTTTGAATGATTTAATAATGCGTATTAATAATGCTTATGCAAATAAAGTTTTTCTTCAAATGTGACAAATGTATTTTTGAA